CTTGGCTCTCAATGGTGGCCAGGTCAGTGAATTTCTCTCTGCAGTATTTCTGAGCGTTGGTCCAGTTCTTATTTACTCTCACCACATAAAACTGATGAGTCCCACAGAAGGAGGGAGTCCACAGAGCTGTAGAGATGAAAGCTCTCATCAGCATGACAGTACAGTAATGAAGCAGCAGAGAGTTTTACAGATGATCATGAAGCTACACTGACCTGAGAAAAGCAGGATCAGATACAGAGCTGAACTCATGACTGTGGAGAACAAGAGAGACACAGTTCACACATTAAACACCTCAACAGTCTTTACTACCAGTACATCAGATCATGCCGTTTGATATTACATTTCTTTTAGTTACATTAAGAAGAAGCCACAATCAGGGAGAACAGAGTGGCTACAGCATAAAAAACATAAAAAACGAGCTTTAATAGCTCAAATTATTTTGTTTAAATAATTAGATAACACTTTACAATAAGACTACATATAATAATGTTGCTTAATAATAATATTAATAACATTTTTATCTATTCGCTTTTAAATAAGTTACTTTTTTTGGCTGTACCGACTTCGACAATAGTTGGCAGCTTAAAGGCCTTTTCAGAAACCGTTCGACTAGAGTGTTTGTGAAGTGAAACAGCAGGATTTGTCGGTAAAACTGAGCAAACCTGGAAGTCAAATCAGTAACTTCATTATTATATTATATGTACTCTTTCATTGTTACTGTCAGATAGAAACAGATGCTGTCTCCTCTTGAAGTTACAGCTGTTTGTAAGAAAATGAGTGTATACTCATAGCATTTTCATCCACACATCTTTCTGATGTATACTATAAAATAAACCTCAAGGTTGTTTATTAAACTGAATATTAAGAACACATGCTTTCAGTTTGCCTAAGTGTTTAGATCTTTAAAGGTGTTCCTCACCTGTTATGGCTGGTAAAGCTGCTCTGTTTGTGTTTGTGTCTCCTGCGGTTTCTGGTGTCTGTAACTAAAGAGGAAACTAAAGTCAGAACAGCTCTTTGTTTTGTGCTCCTCCTTTTTTATGATGATTTACATGACGGCTCACTGAACAAATGCAAATGAATTCACAAACAAGCAGACTTGTACAGTAGAGCTAACTTTGTGAGAATGACATTAATACATAAGGACATATAACGTAAAACTCCTCATCTGATACTGCTGACTTTAAAACGATTATCCCAGGCTTTACAGGGCAACTCGCAGCAGCACACGCTCCCCGTATTTAAGTCTGTTCTTAAACTTCTGACTCAGTAATGCTACTTTTTCAATTTTAACAAAGAACTTTTACATAATGTGGTTTTAAATAAAAAAGTATATCATTTCAACAATCAAAAAATCATTGATTTGTCATATTGAATGATCAGTTAAGGAATCGATTGATTTGCTTGACTGATTCAGTTGATTTGTCTGAAATACAGGGTGATTCAAAAAGATTCATCTGATTTCAAAATGATTTATTTCAGTTGTGAATCATTACAGAACAATGCAGTAAACTGCAAATGGTTTAAATGAGCATAAAGTTTATTATGTCATTATACAAGTGCTCAATATGAACCTCCTCCAGCTGTACAGACAACATCAACGCCATAGTCAAATTCATCCCACACTCAATTGAGCATGTCAGGTGTCGCTGATTTCAGAGATCATCCATTGTTGCTGGGAGTGGCACATAAACAGAATCCTTTACGTACCCCCACAACAAAAAGTCACACAGCGTGAGATCCGGTGATGCTGGTGACCTTTTTCTTGGAACTGTTGGTACCAATGATAATGTCATGCTTTCATTAATAGATCTGGTTTTGTCCCAGCCCGATTATCTAAACCTAGATTAATTACAGCTCAAGTATATAAACCTAGAATAATCACGGCCCAAATACCTAAACTTGGATTAATTTCAGATTGAATATCTAAACCTGGATTAATTTCAGCTTGAATAAGTAAACCTGGATTAATTCCAACTTGAGTATCTAAACCCGAATTAATCCCAGCCTGAGTATCTAAGCCTGGATTAATCACAGCCCGAGTAGCTAAACCTGGATTAATCAGCCTCAGTATATAAATCTGGATTAATCCCAGCCTGATTATCTAAACCAGGATTAATCTCAGCCTGATTATCTAAACCAGGATTAATCTCAGCCTGATTATCTAAACCAGGATTAATCTCAGCCCAGTTATTTAATTCTGGATTAATTCCAGCCTGAGTATCTAAACCTGGATTAATTTCATCTTGAATAAGTAAGCCTGGATTAATTTAATTTGAGTATCTAAACCCGAATCAATCCCAGCCTGAGTATCTTAATCTGAATTAATCACAGCCAGAGTGTCTAAACCTGGATTAATCACAGCCCAAGTAGCTAAACCTAGATTAAATCAGCCTCAGTATCTAAACCTGAATTAATCCCAGCCTAATTATCTAAACCAGGATTAATCTCAGCTCAGTTATTTAATTCTGGATTAATTCCAGCCTGAGTATCTAAACCTGGATTAATTTCATCTTGAATAAGTAAGCCTGGATTAATTTAATTTGAGTATCTAAACCCGAATTAATCCCAGCCTGAGTATCTTAATCTGAATTAATCACAGCCAGAGTGTATAAACCTGGATTAATCACAGCCCAAGTAGCTAAACCTAGATTAAATCAGCCTCAGTATCTAAACCTGAATTAATCCCAGCCTGATTATCTAAACCAGGATTAATCTCAGCTCAGTTATTTAATTCTGGATTAATTCCAGCCTGAGTATCTAAACCTGGATTAATTGCAGCCAGATTATCTAAACCTGGATTGATTATAGCCTGAGAATCAAAACCTGGATTAATCCCAACCTGAGTATCGTAGTCTGAATTAATTACAGCCAGAGTGTCTAAGTTATGTAAGTAATAACCCAGACATTAGGGGGGCCCTGGTGGCTGTGGGGCTTTAAGCACCTGCTTATGTTGCTTATTAGGTTTAAGAAAGGTGTAATGTACACACACACACACACACACACATACTAACACACACACACGCGCGCACACACACACACGCACACACACACGCGCACACACACACACACACACATTTGTGCTGTCAAATGTCACTATGACCATGTCATCTAGACTGTTGACATTGGGCACACCAGGCAGCACTGTGAGGATCATGTTCTTCGATTCCTCCAGTGCATTCAACACCATACAGCGTGTGCTGTTAGGGGAGAAGCAACAGCTGATGCAGGTGGATGAATCCATCATCACATGGATTATGGACTACCTGACCGAGACCCCCTAAAACTGGCCTTGCGATGCCCTGGATGTAAAACAGCTTTTCTTCTTCCAGTATTAAACTATTACAGCCTATGTATTCCAAATTCCACACAATGAACTGCTGTGCAAGGGAAAACACCAGAATTGGTACCTGGAATGTGCTGCAGCTTTCAAAAAGGCCAAGGAACAGCTAGTGTCGCAATGTTTGTCGACCCTATGACATTCAGTTCTGCATCAAGCTGGCAGGTATAAACCTCTGCATATAAACTTCTGGTCCAGACCAAAGGATTCTTGTTCAGTGTTCAATGTTCACTCCACTAGCGACCTATTGTTTTTATAGGTCTCTATAATTGATTTTGTTTCATCATTTGTGTGTCAGTAGTAGTTATACCTAAAATTGAACTTAATTCACTTATCCTGTGTCTGGATACTTATGCACATGTAGTGTACTCTCTCTGTAAACAAATGGATGTAGTAGCATCTGCCTAAATTTTTTCAGGACTTGATTAGTGTGGTATTACTTTTGTTCGGTCTCGGTTTTGACATCATTTGGACAATATTAGATAATTTGCTCACACCTTAGAAGACCCACCCTTCACCAAGTTTTGACCCAGTTCAATTTGAATACTCTTTTAACATCCCAATTATCAGAGTCATCTGTTCAGGCAAGGAGTCTAGAGCACAACCACATTACAAAGTGTTCTTCAGCATGTTACGTGCAATTAGACATTTCTACCGTCTTCAAATCCCCAGAATTTACATGGTGTAACATAAAACTCCTAGAAGGTTTGGATTATCTGCTTTATGACTCATTTGGTTTTGGTCATATCATGTTTTATATATTATAGAATTTATGCAGTCTTCCTATTTAGCCTCTCTCATAGAGTTAATGCTGACTTTGAATTACTCCATTTTTATCTATGAGAATGTTCTGCACCTGTTACGGGCAAACGTATCACAACTTTGCCCATTTACACCTTTTTTATTGTGAATATGTTCTCCCACCCTTTCCTTAATCAGGTATTGGTGTGAAAGATAAATTTAAGAACTGCAACTGACCAGCACTAGATGCTGGTTTGCATGATGGTCTGTGCTGGTTCCTGGCATGGCATTGACCTGGCATGGTCACTGTTTTTACATATGTTTCACTATCTTTGTTTTGTAATACATTGCAGAAATATGATTCAAATATTTCCTGAATCTGTAGAGTCGCCCTTTCCATTCCATCTTACCGTGAGATTGTATGTGAGTCACATCCGGAGTTATGAGACTATAAAGAGGCGCTGACATACACATCATCTGCCTCTCACCGTGTGTAACTGGTGGATTTGTGTGTCTGTCTACATTATGAGTAAAACTGACCAATGGATACTCAAGAAATCACTAAGGACTGTCTCCAGACAATTATCCTGAGATAATTATGTCTAGAAAATTTGTGAGAGTTTGTGGAGTTTTTTTTTTTTTTACCCAGTATAAAAAAAAACATCATTTCTTTCCCCATGTCCTTTCAGGGGCTTATATGTGGGTCCTGTTATACACAGTGAATTAAATAAACTTAATATTGTTAACATCTTAAAATTAGGAGGTTGTTTGAGATAAACAACCTTTACAGCTGCAAATAAGACACACACAAATCATCATTTGATTATTTCATCTAAATAATTTATTATTTTTTGTCCAGGTGTTTCATAGATGATTAAAATGCTTTTGAAAGCCTTTAGTTTAAAAAATGGGATGCTGGGTTTAGAAGGTAAGAGTTACATATTATTTCATGTTAGAATAACAGAAAATACATAGAAATTCAGGAAAAACAGGAACCACTTCAAAAAGAAAACTCAAAAAGAAAAACATCCAGTTTCATTTGTGCTGTGCATGAATCTTTTCTTAGTACTCTGAAAAGAAAGAAACAAAATTAAGAAATAATCTTTTTATATTTGAAAATGAATCTTTGCTATTATAGTATACAGAAGCCTTGGTCTCACCCTCAGAGGTGGTGCAGATGAAGTTGAGTCTCTGATTCTCTGGCAGACTGACCCACTTCTTACTTCCAGACTGCACCGCTCCTGATCTTTCTCCTCCACTGCAGTCTTCCACCCGTGTCCCGTTCCCCGGAGCCCAGTTCTGGTAGCACATAGTCGATCCACTCAGCCAGAACCAGAAGTTCTGAGCACAGGTGTGACGCAGACCCATCCACACATTAGCAGTGGAGGCATAATAAACAGCTGTTTCCACCCAGTGCTGAATTTCCTCAGTGTGAACAGAGACCAGATCCACATGATTGTCTCTGCAGTATCTCAGAGCTTCTCTCCACGTCTTCGGCTCTTTAATCAGGATGAGTGGAAGACCTTAAACAGAGATTTGGTTTTACACAAAGTTTATACAGTATTACATTAGATTAAATCAGTGAATTTGTTGCTGATTGTTACTTTAACAAATATTAACTAAACCAGTGTCGCTTCTCTGAACATAAACATTCAAAATAAAGAAACTGGATCTGTAATAGATGAACTGCATTTCATCTCATATTACTCACGTTTATAGCAGATGAACTGCAATAGTAAATAGCATTGTATGTTGTTCCATTTGAATGCGTATTGATTACTGAATTTTGCACAGTTTTCAATCCCAATGTTGTTTGGCTCTCCAGACATCCAGTCACTGTATGAGATGGCACTACCATCTGACCACGCCCAATTCTAAAGAGAGAAATAATAGTTTAGTAAACGTTTTAAAATGATGCATCCACAATTGAATAGTTTCACTACTCTTACTAATATTCATAAAATCATAATGACAGTCACAAGGCCCATAGGGATTTTACTGATGTAGCTGATTTAAAACCTTGAATGGGATTATCTCTCTATAATTGTGTTACAACATTGGCTCAAAATGTTGGTTATTTCAGCATTGTGTAGCTTTGGGAGTACAGTAAACAATTCATGTTAACAAATTATTGTCTTCAGATACTTTTGACTGTCCTTAAGCATTAACTAATCAATAAACCGTATTCCTTAAACTCAGGCTTTCCCACATTTATCAGCAGCACTGACTGATCTGCAGCTAGAACCTTATAATGGCAAATTAGTGCAGAAAAAATAAATAAATAAGCACCCCAACTACATTAATCAGCACTAAAGAATCAATGGCATATAATACCATCTGTTAGGATTTATTGCATTATATACTCCAAAAAGTGCCAGGAGATTTTTAAATGAAATTCTAGCTATGTCACATGGCCATCACAGTCCCCTGACCTAAACCCCATTGAAACTTTTAACAGGGAAGTCTAACCTTTAGTTGTATGTTTGAGTGATTAATTCATAGTTTCTGTGCATTTCACTTTGCTGCCATTGTAGTTTTCTTATCAGACTCTTGCGTTTGCAGTAGGTCTAATATTCTGGTGTAAAAATGGGATGAAACAGGCAACCTCTTTAAAACCTAGCACTATTGAATCTCAGATGATGACTTGAGAATGCATCACTGAATCAAACATGAATCAAACTAAACTTTCCATTATAAAAGTTACTAGTTTGAAAGTTAATGGGCATCCGTGACAGTTCTTTTTATCTAATATGTACTATTTTTGCTTGTTGGGTGCTCTAGATGTTGCATGTGAGTTCTCAGCTAGTCCTGACGTAATACAAAAGACGGTTTATATGTCTTATGTTTTATACCATTTTATCATAAATATCTTGGCTGTGTGAAGATTTAGCACTATCATATCAGGTCTTGTTGGACTCAATTGGCCTTGCAATTTGTGTTTTGAATTAAGGGGGGCACTGACCACAGACTATATGTATGTTCAAATGTTAGAGGAGTAGTTTTCTTCTAGGTTCCTTCTCGTAATCATATACAGCTGCTTACAGTGTTGTAGCTCATTCCTATCCAGAAGTCGCCTGCTGTTCCGTTGAGAACAGCTATTAGAGCGTTCATTTCCTCTTGGCTCTCAATGGTGGCCAGGTCAGTGAACTTCTCTCTGCAGTATTGCTGAGCGTCGGTCCAGGCCTTAGCATCTACCACCACATGAAACTGACGAGTCCCACAGAAGGAGAAAGTCCATAGAGCTGTAGAGATGAAAGCTCTCATCAGCATGACAGTACAGTAATGAAGCAGCAGAGAGTTTTACAGATGATCATGAAGCTACACTGACCTGAGAAAAGCAGGATCAGATACAGAGCTGAACTCATGACTGTGGAGAACAAGAGACACAATCCACACATTAAACACCTCAACAGTCTTTACTACCCATTATGGTCTGGCAACTGTTAGCGAAAGCACAGGCACAGTAGCCCTTATTCATCAGAGTTGTGTATAAAAGTGTGCAGATTTGACGCCTTTAACGATGTAAAAACTTCTCTCCATCTGATTCACAAAACTTTTGTGTAACCAGTGTATGCAATCATGTGCAGCTCAACTGCACCCTCTATACTCCAAAACCCTCTGCGTTGTGTTACCGGTGGAAAAGAGGAAGACTGGACACGCTCTGCCATATGACTGGGAATTTATTCTCTCACTCTCTTTCTGTGTACAAAATGAGAGTGGCAAAACTGTACCCAAAGGAAAGTAACTCAAAGAGGCAAAGAAAGCAGTAAAGTGACAAAAGGATGGAGCAAATATACTAAAATAAAAATACACGTTTATATTTTAACATGAAATCTTGTACAATACATTGTTCTTTTTTATATAAAGAAAAAAAAAAAAAGAAAGGAATACCCTAATGTGGCAAAGGAATACCCTAAATTGTCCCTGATGTAAAATAAATAAAGGATGTTTACCAAAATATTGGACAAAAGCAGAGAAGGATTTTATGTGAAATCCACATCTGTTACATTCACCTCCCCTTGAGTTTCACTAAACTCCCGATCAGTCGGTTCCAGAATATATGCTAGACTTTAGTATCTGGAAAGCACATCTAATCGTAACTGGCACAGGTTATAAAGAACCTTCTTACAGTAATTCAGCTTTATGAGCTACCTGCCAAACAGGTTAAGAGGAACCCAAGGTTGATCAGGCCTTAGATTTTCCTAGAATGATATGGTGCCTTGTACACCATATAGTAACCTGGCCCCATTTACATTCTGAAATTCATAGTGAACATGAAAACAATCCTTCCAAAATGTTCTGCACTAACTCGACAAAAGGAGCTCTAAAAAACAAAGAAGTGATTGGGATTTCTTAGTGATTGTGCTAGCAAAATCCTCAACATTAAAGGACTTTCGAGCCATACACTCAACCAAGCGACTGACCTTCTTTGCAACTCTACCTGCACGAGACCTAACAACTCCCTGTGTGTCAGTGATGTGTGACTGTGTTTCAGTACTAGTGTGTTCTGATGAGCCAGGAGCATTTGAGATTGTGTCTGTAATGACTGATTGGTCTGAATCATAATCTGGACCATCTACACCAGCATTATGTATGAGACAGTTCTTCTCTTTGTCATCTTCTGGAATACTAGATTCATCATCTTCTGGACTGGGATTATCATCAACATATGACATGAAACTCTCTGCATCTTCAGAATCATCTGATATCCAGGCAGTACTTATATCCTCTGGATTTCCATGCTGTGAGGTCTCAAATGAGTCCAGAATGCAAGACTCGTTCTCTGGCCATCCATCACTGAACTGGTCATTGCTTGTCATCTCATTACATGTATCTAAAGGCAGAAAACTAATATCCAGAATCAAATTGCGAAGGACAACTTTATGATTGGTCTGAGGATTTCTGTCTTCCACAGTGTAGGCTGTTGGGTCCCATTTATCAGCAAGTTTTCTCTTTCCTCTTTCTCCCTTGTTTGCAATGAGTACTCTGTCCCCTACATTGAGATGTGTTCCCTCGACCCTTCTGTTGTGACCTTCGGCTTGTCTATGCTGTTCTTTGGCTGGATGCTTTTGTGCGATACCAGCCGCTTCATTTAGATACGACATGAGCATTTTCACAAACTTCCATGGTCGACAACTACAGGATCACACAGTACCTGCTTGAACATTACATTGACAGGGAGTCTTGGGATTTGACCAAACATTAACTGAAAAGGGGCATACCCCGTTGTTTCGTGTACAGCCGCATTGTATGCAAAGGTCAACGTTTGAATCTGCTCAGGCCACTTATACTTTTCCTGAAGAGAGTTTGTAGCATATTGCCAGGCGTGCAGTTGAATCTCTCAGTTCCCCTGTTGCCCATGGAGTGATATGCTGTAGTGCATGACGAATTTGGCGCCCTGATCGGTGTGTATTCTCTGGGGAAAACCATACACACACACACACACACACACACACACACACACACACACACGACATGATCCCATAACTTCTTGGTGACTTGTTTCGCAATCTGGTTTGAACATGGAAACACGTGAGCCAGCTTCATAAAATGGTCTGTAATGACAAGCACATCCACGGAACGTTGTTTTCTGTCCTCAGCGCTTGATCCCTGCTCAGAGCATCAGCTGCAGTGTTCTTGCTACCAGGTATGTGCTTTAGATCAAATGTGTATGGTGCAAGCTTGGATACCCATCGCTGTTCGCTGTCCATACTGTAAAGGAATGACCCTTTAACCAATGACTAAACCTCTCACATACACTCCACTTGAGCGCCAAAAACTCAAGACGGTGTGCAGGATAGCATTTCTGAGATTTAGTCAAGGACTAACTTGCAAACGCGATGGGGCGGGCTTTCTCTTCACCAGCCAGCATTTGGGATAAGACAGCTCCAAGACGGTCCAAAGAAGCATCAATCGACAAGACAAAGGGGCGTGAGAAATCTGGGTGTGCAAGGACCACACTGTGCAAAAGGTTCTCCTTTAGACTGGAGAGAGCAGCATCACACTCAGGAGTCCAGTCGTTAGGTTGTAGTCTGCGTAAGGTCCCTGACTTCGTGTTTGTTTTGAATTTGCCTCACCTCTTCTGTCCAGCAGTGAGGGCAAAAAGCGGCCTGGCTATAGCAGAACAATTGGGGATGAAGTGTTGGTAGTAGAATAACATACCAAGAAAGGACTTGATCCTTTTCACTGAAGGCATGCATCCATCCTCTTCCATAAGATCAGCCCTTGACATCCTTGTGATGACCTCGACCTTTGCTGGATCGAGTGAAACCCCATTGCTGTCTATGAGATGGCCAAGAAACTTGACAGATTCATGCATCAAATGACATTTCTTTGGACTGAATTTAAGATTATGAAGCTGCAACCACTGGAATATAATTTCCAGTCTCTTCAGTGCTTCCTCCTCACTTGGAGCAAACACTAACAGATCATCAAGATAGCATAGTAAGCTACTAAAGTTAAGGTCACCAAAGATGCTTAGCATCATGCGCATAAACGAAGCTGGGCTGTTGGATAGTCCTTGTGGCATACAATTGTATTCATGTAGCCCTAATGGAGTTGTAAATGCAGTGTACTTTTTGTTTTCTTCAGCCATGAGTATGTTGTAGAAACCTGAAGTCAAGTCCATGGTGCTGAAAAAGACAGTCTGTTTGGTGTGGGAGTGGATGTGCATCTTCGATGGTTCTAGCATGTAACCACCTAAAATCAGTGCAAATTCTTAGGCTGCCATCTTTCTTCCACACTAAGACTAAAGGAGAAGCGTACTCACTCACAGGCTTACGAATTATGCCTTGTTCTTCCATTTCTGATAGTATTTGCCGCAGTTTCTGATAATGAGCAGGAGGCACACGGCGGTAGGGGAGTCGAAGCGGTCGATCGTCTGTGAGTCGGATGCGGTGGACAAATCCTCCACAGTCTAAAGGGTGTTTGGAAAAGATGTCATGGTACTTCTCAAGCAGCTGGACCAGTTTCTCTTCCACCTACAAGATCTGTGGAGCAGGTGTCATTATCAAGATCACCAAGCCACTTCAGCCTGGCTCACACCTTGAAAAATCTCAAAATCCTCCACTGCTAAACACGGTGACACATCAGCTAATTTAGTTTTCCTTCTAAGAGTGACAGGCTGGTCAGAAAGGTTAGTGACCTTCATGGAGATCCATCCGTCACCCCACAGCAGAGTAACAATACGTCCAACCATAATGTGGTGTGGCATGGCCCTGGAAGATGGCCCTTTCATCCGATGTATGAGGAATTTGATCACATTTGTGAAGTTCATCCTTTTGTCCTGGCACAATGAGAACAGGCACAATGCAGCTCTCCCCATACACCTTTAACTCAGTCTCATACACACATTTAGGTCTTGTGAGTTTACCCCCACATCCAACTAAGACTATCTCCTAAGACAAAGGTTTTGGTTCTGGTAGTGCATTTTTATTCAACATTCTTGCCTCTGCCTCCTCCGCCATGACATGGATCCGGAATCAAGCATCCCCCGTACTTGAAATTCGTTATTCACACTAACTGGCACATAAAACAATTCATTAAATGGCTCAATTCTTTGTATATTCTGCACTATAACTTTGGCGCCTATGGGTGCTTGAGTGCATGCATTCTGAAAACATTGTTCAAGATCAGTGAGGAGTTGTTCATCCTTGTCCACACCTTCCCCTCCTGGGTGCAGGCTGCCTAGTTTAAAGGCCGTGTCTCTTGAGATGATGATGGGGAAGCTCGATTAAGTCCAACATTAGTGCAGTTTCTTCTGACATGACCAGGCTGAAAACAAATCAGACACAGGCGCTGTTGTCTACAATAAGTAAGAGTGGAGTGCTCATTAGATCTGCAGACCTTACATCGTTTTGCTTTTGGCTGGGTTGAGGTGAAGTGCTTGGCTGCAATCTGGTTATTTTGTGTTAGTGCACGATCAAGAAGGCTTACTAGCGCTTTCAGGCAGTTGTCCTCAACCGGTGAGGAAGATACAGCAGCAGCTTCATTCTGTACAAAAGATTCCGTTGGGCAATTGCTTGGCATCATGGCAGCTGGTTCAGGAGTCTGTACATGAACAGTTGCATGTTTCACATGACGGGGCCATTTGGTCTTGGCTGGTGTCTGCTCTCTCAATTCAGACTGATAACGGTCAAAGTGTTCTTGTATCTCGCTCACTGTCCATTTACTCAGTGCTTTGAACTTGAAAACAGCAGAGAGAGCAGGATCAGGACAGTACTTAACAAACATCATGGCTACTTCATGGCACGGATCCTCAATTTGCCGGCCTAGCCTCCTCAAGCCTTCCTCTGCTGCATCAACAGTCTTGTTTAGATGGACCCAGTCCTCAATAGGATTTTCCCCTGCTGCTGGTACTGTACCATTAAAGGCATACATGAGTATTTAATCTCACTAAAGTGTTGCTTTAACACATCAAAAATTGAATTACTGCGAAGTGTTATCCTTACTGGCCTTGGCTCTGCCCATTAATTTAGAAAGTATCTCCTGAGACTGCTCTGACACTGGTATGGCTCGCTTTCTTAAATATGTTTACATTAGCTCCTTCCATTTAAGTATAGTGAACATGTCTGATTCATCTCCACGAAAGACAAATGTAATTTGACACTTCAGTGCGTGAAATCAAGCACAAGCCTACCAGCACCTCATTTACATATTGTTTACATGAAGCGTGAACTGTTTCAGTAGGGATCCAATTAGACGACAGCATTCAGTGGCTCGTGAGCCAGTGGCTGAGCTCATATGTGGGGTTTGAGGTCGAGCAGTGAGTACACTGCTCCCCCTACTGACCAAACTTTATAGTGTTAAAATATGATGACTGGAAAAATTTAAATGTGTAATAAACAAAACATTAGTCTGATTGTTTAGTGAGATTATTAAAATAATAAAATATAATAAAGTAATTAAAGGCTGCATTATTGCAGTGTATGAGATGCCTCTGCACTAGCTGTGTTTTGTATTGTTTATTTTTATGGGTGGAGTCGCCTCGCGATGGACTGGCAACCAGTCCAGGGTGTATCCTGCCTCTGCCCAATGACCGCTGGGATAGGCTCCAGCTGCCCCCCGCGACCCAAGAGGGAAAGTGATTTAGAAAGCGTGTGTGTGTGTGTGTGTGTGTGTAGTGTGAAAACAAAGCACAGTGTAATGTGCCTTTGAATGGAAAATGGAATAGTTGCAGCATTTGTTTATACCAATGCGCATGTAAAATAAACGTTTTTATTGGTATTATAGGTGATACTGAGGGCCATTGATGAGGCATTGCACCTCATAGGGGATTAACAAACAAAAGCACTTATTCAAACAGATGTTTGTTTAGAAAAGATATGAAGTACAGAAGCGTTTAACCATTTTACATTAAAAATATGTTGCTGTATTACTTTGTGTGTCTCCTTCCATCTGTGTTCTATGTGATAATGGAGGAAACTAAACCTGAAAACCTGTTTGTCTTTTTATACTGATTTACATGAAGTTCCAGAGAATAATGCAAATGAACATAAATCCACAGACACACAGTGTGCCATACATATCAGTTAGTTTCCATTAACACTACACAGACAGCCATGATGTCGTTATCTCTTTGATATAATCATTTTTTTATAATTTTTAAATCTTATATAAGTGGTTTAATGTAATCATTTAACTTTAGATGCTAGTGGATGGAGTGACCTGCATTAAGATCACTACAGCGAATGAAAGAACAAAATACATGTAAGCAATTTTCATTTTTTCATTTTTTCATTAATTTTCTTACATTTGGGTCTGTAGCATCCTAGTTACATCACTTAAGTTATCTTATTTTTAACTTGGTGGCCAATGATTGACATATTTTAGTTCTGTCAATTCTGGACTAAAATGTTTATAATTGGAGATATTACATGTTTAACTGTGTTTACTGTGGTTATTTTTTACACTGTTACCCAAGTAAGAGTACAATATTAACAGCACAAGCCTAGATGAATTAAGTACATTAAATAAGGACATTTAATGAGCTCAAAGATTCTGAGCACTGCCAGGCTGGCATGGAGAGAGGACTGTTGATTAAGCATCAAACTTCATGGGGTTAAAAGAAAGAGCAGTTATAGAAATATAAATATTAAAAAAAAACATTTCAAAGGGACAAACAAACAAAAAGCTGTTATGTTTTCTGGCTGGAAATAGTTCAGGTTTCAGACAGTGTGACTTCACAAACACTTATTCAAAACAGAGAAATGTTTGTTCAGAGAAGATATGAAATACAGGGGTGCTGGAATATTTTACATTAAAAAAACCAAACCAAACCAAAATTTATACTACAGTACAAGTTATGATAGTAGTATATCGCTGTTGTTGGAAGAAAACCTGTACCTAACAGGAGAAGGAAAAAACCTACTTTACTCTTAGTGTAAGTCAATGGAACACACACACACACACACACACACACACACACACACACACACACCTACATTATATATGTATATATATATATATATAACAGTGATATTAATGGCAGCCCAAACTGACTTGTTGATACTGTGTGTGTGGTGTGTGTGTGTGTGTGTGTGTGTGTGTATGTGTATGTTGGGTGTATATATAATATATATATATATATATATATATATATATATATATATATATATATATACATACACATACACATACACACACACACACACACACAGTATCAACAAGTCAGTTTGGGCTGCCATTAATATCACTGTTACAATGAGGTAAAAACAACTTCTGTCTATTGTGTAATTTACAATCACACACAAGACAATAATGTTTGTAAACGTGTAGCGTTTTCTGCAAGAACCTGCTGCGTTGCTTTATATAAAAAAACAAGCTCGCTTCTTAAACCGAATATTAAGAATGAGTGTTTAAGCTCAGTAATCAGACTGAATGAGTTTTTAAAGGTGTTTCTTACCTGTTAACAAAAGTGGCTCAAAGTTGCCCTGTTAGTCGGTGTGTCTCTTAACCATGAAATCCGAAACAGCCGTTTGTTTTATACTTTTTTTTAGGCTGATTTACATGCAGTTCCAGAGAACATTGCAAATGAACTAATCCACAGATACACAGGAGGCTGATAGATCAGGTAGCTTCCATCAACACTACACAGACAGCCATGACTTCCGTTTCCGCTGAGAGAACGCCGAGCGCTATTGGCAGCCGCTTCTTGGCGGGTCCGTGTGTTTGTTTTGATTTTGTGTTGTCGCTGGATTACACATCACTAAGCTTTCATGCTGGACTGTTTTCTGGACTATACGGTCTTCCTACCTGATTTTTGGAGTCATATTGCGCTGCATTTTGGATTGTTGTTTACCCTCCGGATCGCTGGACGTTTCCACTATTACAGCCTCGGCATTGCCGTCTAGAAGCCTTCTCTCCCGTTCCCCTCCCCGGTGCACTCTGCTACTCGGCCCGTTTGGTAAGTGAGTATCCCCTCCCTTGGCAGGCGCTGTCCGATGGCTCTGTCGTGTTGTGGACGTAGGGCCAGTGAGGTTGGCCAGGTGGCTGATGTTCTGTTTTGGAATACTTGCTTTGAATCTCCCAAACATGGTACTGGAGTATACATCAACAGACTTACATAGCTGGAACGGCCGTTTACGCCTCGATTCGGAGATTTACAGTTACTGTAAATCACTTGGAATCGCTAGGCGCCCTCGCTACGTACATCGCTCAAGTAGGATCTACCGGACATTCCACTACACTGTTTCCTCAGCATCTGCAATACCGTTGATGTGGTCATCTACACCGTGCGACCCTCTCCCTGCACAGCGTGGACGCCGTGGTAGGGATTCTGCTCTTTTGCGACCGTTGTGCAAAGTCGACCGCTGGCAGGAAACAGATACTAATCGCGAGAACACTAGTAGCATGGCCTTACTAAACTTACACCTGAACTCACTGGCTTCTCCCGGCTTTAACTACCTATCTATACCTCGACTCAAAGGTAGAGGCGGGGGTTTAGCAGTTATATTCCGTAATAATCTAAACTTTCTTGTGATAGACTCCTACAGAGGATCTTCTTCTTTTGAACAACTTGTATGTAAATTATCTGGTCCGATTCCATTACTTGCCATGCTAATCTATTGTCCTCCTCCAATGCAGACTAGCTTTCTGTCGGATTTATCTGAACTGCTTACTGAAGTGTGTGCTCTGTCGTCTACTGTTATATTACTTGGTGACTTTAACGTACATATTGACAAGGCCTCGACTATGTCAACTGATTTTATGTCAGTGCTCGACTGCTTTGGATTCACACAGCATGTAAACTTTCCCACACATGAGCATGGTCATACACTGGACTTAATCTGTACAACTGGACTTGATAATATTGCTGTTCGGGGCACCCATATTGGTGACCATCATTTTATTGAATTCAGCTTTAATTTTCATTTCCATAGGTACTCTAAGAAAACCATGGTGACTTACAGAAATCTGAAATCTCTTGATCCTTTAACTTTTTCTGCTTCACTTCATGCTTCACCACTCTTTGCCATCTCTTCCCTGTCCTGTCCTGATGAGATTCTCTCTGTATATAATGATTCCATCTTGCACATTCTAGATGCTCTTGCACCCCTTAAACAAAGGCTTGTGCCATCCTCCCGCTCTCCTCCGTGGTTTACTATTGAGCTTAGGGCTATGAAAGCCACTGGCAGACGTCTTGAGTGGCTTTATAGGAAAACTGGCCTTACTGTGTATTCTTTAGCCTATGCAGATCATGTGTCTAGATACAGAGATGCTTTAAATAGGGCACGTTCCTCTTATCTATCTTTGGTGATCCACCGTAGCTCATGCCGGCCCAGGACCCTTTTCAACATTATTGACAAACTACTGCAGCCCCCCAGTAGTAGCTTCCAGTGGTTCAGTTAAATTATGCAATGAATTTGTTCACTTTTTTCAGAATAAAATTGACTGAAAAAGCCAGGTCTAGACTCGCATGACTTAAATAATTACTCTAAATCCTCTATGGTGTCTGCGACTAAGGGTGTTCCACAGGGCTCAGTTTTAGGTCCATTGCTCTTCACCATTTACATGCTGCTACTTAGGCAAATAATACACCTTCATGGTTTAAGTTTTCATTGTTATGCAGACGACACTCAGATCTATGTTAGCGTTAGCCCTGTTCAGACTACACCACCACCTGCTCTATCTGACTGTATCCATGACATAAAGTCATGGATGAGTTTGAACTTTTTAAAACTGAATGCTAGCAAAACTGAGTTGCTTCTAATTGGCTCAAAGTCACTGATATCTAGCTCATCTGTCCTTGGCATTAATATCGATGGGACTCTAGTAACACCTTCTCCCCACGTCCGCAACCTCGGAGTTATTATTCACCCTACGCTCTCTTTTGACATCCACATCAATTCCGTTGTTAAGACAGCATTTTTCCATCTTCGCAATATTTCTCGCCTCCGACCATTTCTCAGCCAAGCCGATGTAGAAACGCTCGTGCATGCATTAGTGACATCACGGTTAGACTACAGCAATGTTCTTTTTTCTGGCCTCCCTGTCAAAACCCTCACTAGGTCACAGTATGTTCAAAATGCCGCTGCTAGGATCGTCACCTTTTCTAAAAAGAATGACCACATCACCCCTTCAGAGTCTTCACTGGTTGCCCATTGCATTTCGTATTTAGTATAAAGTTCTCCTTATAACGTATAAAGCTCTGCACAGTCTGGCTCCTCAACACTTGGCAGAGCTTCTTCATCTATATGTCCCATCCCGTACCTTGAGATCACAAAATCTAGGCCTACTTCATGTTCCTAGATTTAAATTGGCTTCTATGGGTGGTCGATCATTTAATGTAGTAGCTCCCAAGTTATGGAATACCCTCCCACAGTCTATTCGGGATGCAACCTCTCTGTCTTCATTTAAATCTCTGTTAAAGACGTACTTGTTTTCACTGTGTTATCATTGTTCCGTTTAAATGTTTGAATGTTTGAATGTTTACCTATATTGTCCTTTTGTTTAATGTGTTGTTGTTTAATGTGTTGATGCTCTCTGATTGTTAAGCGTCCTTGAGCATGGGAACGGCGCTATATAAATAAAAGTGATGATGATGATGATGATGATGATGATGATGATGATGATGACGTCCAGTTATCTCCTTAATATGTTCATTATTTCTAATTTTAAAATCTAAGTAATCTAATGCAATATTTAGGTTAACCTTTTTTTAATGCTAGTGAGTGGAGTGCCATACATTGAGATGATTATAGCAAGTAAAAGAAGAAATTACATGAAAGTACATTTCATATTGGGATGCTCAATATATATTTTTTTTAATAACATCCTAGTTACATCACTGAAGTTATCTCCAGTGTTTAACTGGAACCCAAAGATGTCTTTTGATTGACTTTGACTTCCAGCTATATCTATCTCTCTCTCTCTCTCTCTCTCTCTCTCTATATATATATATATATATATATATATATATATATATATATATATATATACACACATACACTCAGGCATAACATTATGACCACCTCCTTGTTTCTATGCTCATTGTCCATTTTATCAGCTCCACTTACTATATAGGTGCACTTTGTAGGTCTACAGTTACAGACTGTAGTCCATCTGTTTCTCTGCATACTTTGTTAACCCACTTTTACCCTGTTTTTCAGTGGTCAGGACCCCCATGGACCCTCACAGACCAGGTACCATTTGGGTGGTGGATCATTCTCAGCACTGCAGTAACACTGACATGGTGGAGGTGTGTTAGTGTGTGTTGCGCTGGTACGAGTGGATCAGACACAGCAGTGCTGCTGGAGTTTTTAAACACCTCAGTGTCACTGCTGGACTGAGAATAGTCCAGCCAAAAATATCCAGTCAACAGCGTCCTGTGGGCAGCATCCTGTGAACAGTACTGTGCTTACTGTGACAACAACAATGCAGGTGCGTCTAATAGAATGGACAGTGTGTGGACACAGTATTTAAAAACTCCAGCAGTTATGCCTCATCGGTGTATATATACCACCATTATTGTGGATATTTTCCACATGGTTACCCAAGGAAGAGGACTCAGTAGCACAGGCCTATGTCTGAGTTGAGTAAATTAAATAAAAGACATTCTTTTCTGTTGTTTCTGTTTGCTGGATAATCAAAAAAGGTGATATAGTAAGGGATTGTTCACAAAATGGAGAATGCAATTTAATTTCTGAAGATTTTCAGAGCTAAAGGAGTCTACAGTTAACCCACCCATGTATTTCGAAGACACAGTCTTTCCATTAGATCCTTAGATCGTTTCAGTGTGTGCATTTTAATTACAGTCCTGAAGAGGAGACTGCGTGTGCTCTCAAGGACCACTGATTAACACGGATATCTCTGAATTGTTGGCCTGGATAGGATTCAACTTCTTCCAAGTGGATTTGGAAGAACATCACAATGCTTCTAATTGTGTAATGAACATCAGTGTTTTTGTTGGCTGTGCCTTATTCAACTTTTTGGTTTGTTGGTTTGTTGGGGTTGAGGTGACCCAGAGCCAGACTCAAACCACTGATGTACTGACCAGCAGTCCATGGAGTTACCGCTGCGCCACTGAGAAGCAAAGGCAACAATAGGTAAAACACCTCAAGGAAACGCTGAAAGCAGCTCAAACAAAGGCTGAACTAGAAACGTGAAATAAAAGATAATAAAAAAAACAAAAGACACTTCCTGTAATTATGAGGGGCAAACGTTGTTTCCCTTGTTTGCTCTTAGTGGACCAAACACCTTTTGTATGGCTTGGAGCCGTTTGTAGCAAAGGTGTGACAAAGGGCTGCTGTTTAAGTAGAAGAGTCCACAGGTGTGTCAGGTTGGGCCTAATCAGCCCAAGGGCTTCTGGGAATTGGAGTTCCCTAAAATTATGGCACCTTGCCGCTGTCGCCTTCTGCTGGCAGCCGGTGGCGCAGGCTGGACCCTTACAATAAGCTTTTGATTGACATGCCCATCTAGTCTGCAGATCATTCAGGTGCCAAGCTATGATGACACATGTCCAAGGAGGCAGGATGCAAACAGGAAAGGTGCCTCAGAAAACTGCATTTGGTGCGCAGCGGTAGTAGAAGTAGATGTATGCAGCACAAGAGATG